GAACAGCTTATATCCTGCAACAATACCTTTAACACCATCAAACAACATCTGCCTATCCCAGATCCCTGGGAAGGACTCAATAGGTGGATAAAAATGCCAAATCCAGCCTAAACATCTGGCTGACCATGCAACCAACAATAATAATATATTAAACTTGTATGCTACCCAACTCTCAACGACTCTGGGTGGTTATCCTAAAAAGCTAAGGTTGGAGGACTAATGAAAAGTGTCCAATACATTGGATCCAGGGATGTCTTCTTGAGGAGGGGATGGACCACTGCCTCTTTAACAGCTGGAAGAACTTCTACCTCCTTCCCCCAAACGATGCATTTATGTCAGCCTTACTAGGTAGACCAGACAGGAAACACGACCAGATGTGCCAGTTCTACTTTACTGTAAAGCTATGTTAACAGAATCTTGCAAGTCTGAAAGTACAATTCTCCCGCCATCTCCTTTACTGCCTGAGAAATGGTATGTGTGTGCGTGTCTTCTGAGCCTCTTGCCCTGCCCACTATCCAGTTGTAGGTTATGCAATCTTTTATATGATCATTCCCTAGATTTAATTTAATTTAATTTTAGATTAAATTAAATTAAATTAGATTTAATTCTCTAGATTCTCTTGGCCCTGCCTCCCAAGGTCTTTCCCACATACCATTACAATGTATCATTACTTGGATACACCCACATGTTGCCTCAAGGGAGGTCTCAACCAACTGAGAGGGACATAGATCTAATACACAAGCGGCTGCATTCACAGCATTCCTCAGGACCTCAGGTTCAAACTCTTCCTAGGTATCTACACTAGACCATGCTTTAGTCAAGACCATGCCTTACAGCTGGAGTCTAACTCAGAGTAAATCTGAGCCAAATTTACAGCAGCTTAATTTCACAAACTGAGTACATACATCTGAGATGACATTTATTTTATGCTTAGCTTCGGGGGAATTGATGTCCAGGAAAATTAATCCTTAACAAAAAAAGGTAAAATTATCTTCAAAAATACTTTCTTATTCTGCAATAAACTTAAAAGAAATTCAAAAATTCAAAAAATTCAAAACTATAAGCAAACTGCAAATAAGTAATTTCCATGATTGTAGGCATATAATGGTTGTTGTTTGTTAAATAGATTTCTTTCATCAGTATACCAATTAAATCTTTAACATTTCTTTCCAATAAAAAGTTGGAATATTAAATTTTCCATTTAATGCTAAGAACAAGAGAGCCAGTTTGGTCTAGTGGTTAAGGCTTCAGGCTAGAAACCAGAAGACTCTGAGTTCTAGTCGCAGCTTAGGCATGAAAGATGGCTGTCACTCTCTCTCAGCCATGACATCAGGCTTGGGCGACAAGCGGGTCACTCAATTCCTGTCACAACCAATGGATCAATATTTGTTTGATCCGAAAAAAAGTGGATGCTGCACCTGTGGGAAAAATGCTAGGAAGAAAAAAATATTAATTCTAAGAACAATTCTCCATTTAATGCTAAGGGGAAATGCTACCAAAATGCTTTCAATGTTTAGTGTTACATAAATCATGAAATGCAGGTCATCTGCATTTAAAAAAGAACTCAGCACATGTTACACTTTCTTTGACAGGTAGGGCTCCTAGGTGTTCAATTCTGAATTAGAATCAGAAGGGGGCATTTAGACCATCAAGTCCAACCCCTTTGCTCTGTTCAGGAATCCAGATTAAAACAATCCTGAAAGATTCATGATGGCAAGCAAAATCCAACAGTTTTTCTCAATGGGCTGATATAATGAGAAAACTTTTTATACTGCCAAAGACTGGCAACTATCCTGTTCTAAATGCTGGATGCTACAGGGTCATTAAACTAAAGTGTGCCACTGATGTATTTCTCTGCCTCTCTGACCACATATTGGTACAAGAACAAGAAATGAATAAACATTTCAGAACAATTTCACCAGGTCATATGCATTGGATTTCTGCTGTATTCAAACATTAATTCTAAAACTTTTAAAAAGTGTAATATTCTGATTTTTAACTCACAAAATAAGCCCAACAACCCGCTGCTTTGGGAAAAAAAATTAGGGCATGAACATGGCCCCTGCTCCATGAACTGTCACAAGGAGCATTTTGTTACCGTATGAGGACATTTTTTAAGGTTAATTTTGAAATCCATGAATTCCATTAGGCAGTGGGAGTTATTTTCAAATATACCTGAAGTCAGGATGATGGCATTTTTATGCCACCTTTCCTCTAGGAGTTGAAAGTGGTGTCCATGGGAGGGGTCTCCTTTCATTTTATTACCACAACCTGAAAAAAGCTGAAAAAACAGGGGGCAAGCTGAATGACTGAAACAATTTTATTTTATTGCTTTAAAAAAACACTTTAAGTCTTTCTTAAAGCATGGTCCTAGGACCTCTCGAGTTCCCCCAAGACCCTCTCAGGGGTCTGTGAAATCAAAATTATTTGCCGGCCTATGTTATAAAATAATGCAATGTTAAAATACCATCAAAATTGTGAAAAGTGATAGCAACAGCAAATACATGAGTTTTAATTTTTAATACGATAAATATCAATAGAGAGCCAGTTTGGTGTAGTGGTTAAGGCACCAGGCTAGAAACCAGGAGATGGGGAGTTCTAGTCCCGCCTGAGGCACAAAGCCAGCTGGGCGACCTTGGGCCAGTCACTCTCTCTCAGCCCCAGGAAGCAGACAAAGGCAAACCACTACCGAGATCTTACCCCCAAAACTGCAGGGAATTGTCCAGGCAGTCGCCAGGAGTCAACATTGACTCGAAGGCATCAATCAATCAATCAAATCAATAAATATAACCTATGCAAACGAAAGTTCCATAATTTTTAAGTGGGAAGGGATCCTGAAAGAAAAGAAGTTTAAGAAACACTGCTGTACAGGAATGTTATGGTTGTATACTGTAATGCTAGATGATGCCGTGCCGCACTATTCACAGTATTTTTCTTGCATTCCCTTCTTGCCTTCCGCCCCGCTCATGCCTCATTTTTAAAGCAGGACAAAGAAGGAGAGTTTGTTTCCGTGGCCGAAAAAAGGTCGCTTTCTTGCTAAAGGAAATTGCAAAGGGAGAAGAAAAAGGCTCCCCACGCCACCCATAAAGAAGGCTTGTTCTCCCTCCCAATTCCGCGCCTCTGCGACCGCCAACCCCAACCGCTGCTGTCCGCGCGCACACGCGCGCGCTTCGGCGCCCAGTCCAGGATACTTTTCCTTCCCTGCAGCCTCCGCGCCGGGGCGGAAGCGGTTTCATCTTGACTCAGTACCAGCGCCGGCAAAGCGAGCTGCTGCCGGGTTAGAGGATGCGCGGAAGGCGGAGACTAGCCGGCCGGGGAGGGCGAAGATGGCGGAGAAAGAGTGAGTAGACCCGGCGCCTGGGGCCGCCCGGGATGGGATGTTGGTGGGAATGGGATGCAACGGGAAAAGGAAAGGAGAGGTGGCAAAAGGCGCGCAGGGGAAAGGGCGCGGCAGAAGTCGGGGAAGCGCCCGGTAGGCTTGGTGCCACCCGGGGAGGTAGCAGCTGGGATGGGAGAGAGCTCGGGGACGGGCAGGGGGTCCGCTCTACATGGAAGCGGCGCGTTTACCGCGGCTCCTCTTCCTTGGGAAGGGACTCCTGCGAGGTGCGTGCCAAAGGAGGAGGAGGAGGCCGGGGAGAGCTAAGCCCGCTCGAGCAGACAGGGCGGCGTCATCCCTGAGGGTGAATTGTCGTGGCCTTACCGAAGTTGTCGGTAGCGCTGTCCGGAGCGTGCCTTGTGCTTTTTCCCCCAAGGGAGTTCAGGCGAGGATTTTGCCCTGGGAACGCTTCTCGGTGCCTGATCGCTTGAAGGCCCGGAGCGGAGGGCCTAAGCGATATTGTCTTATGTTTTTCACCCTTCTGCGTTTTTCCAGAAGGAAGTCCATTAAAGAGGGCGAGACCATAGTCCGACTGCCTTTTCTCACGTGGACCTCACTAAGGCACAAACCTGCCCCACTTTTCTTTCTCTTGGGTCCCCAAAATGTCACCTTTATCTCAGGTGTGGAATAGTCTTAAATTGCTCTTCACTGTACTGGTTTTAGTCTTTTCCTCCTTACACTAGCACCATTCCTGGGCAGCCTCAAGGCGTATAAAATCTGTTAGGTTTTGTCGCCTATTCCCTTGGAGTTAAGTCAGGTGACTGTGCTGACTTGAAACTGCATAGAGGAAGGATAGAGCTCAGGAATGGGAACAGCAGTTTCCACCCCTGTGTAATTTTATGCCTGGTCATGGATAGGTGGAGAAAGGCCTGGTAAATGCTAGGATCAGTCTCTGTAAACAACCCTGGGGTGCCTCATATTCTATGTAACAAGACAGAATGATTTCTTAAGTTTGTATTTCACTTTTACTTTGAAGAGTTTAAGGTGCTTTATTCCATTGTTTCAATGTCTTGGAGTGGATTTAGGAGAGTTGAGGTTCAGAACTGCAGGAGAAAGGAAAAAGGCTGCTATCAGGATTTCATTTATGTGATATTGGATTTCACAATAACTACTATTCCATGTTGACTTAAGTGCTAGACCATCTACTGAAGACTGCCCTTTCCATTATAATTAGACGTTTTTGCAAGGCACTAGGTCATAAAAGGAATTGGTGGGTATAATGGTAATTGCTTTCTTTAATTATTCAGAAGTTTTGTTTGTATCTAAAATTGTTTTTGTGGCTTTTTGAAGTAAAAAAAAAAATTCTGCCTTTCCAAAATAAGTTTTCTTTTCCCACCCCACATATTCATTTAAAGGGTTTTTTTTTTCATACATACACATTAGGCCTGTGCCAAAAATCTCAAATAGATTGTGTTTCTTTGCCCAGGCACTTCACTTCAGTGGAAATTTATTTATTTATATTTATATTTCAGATTTAGTCACCGCCCATAATATATGCAAACATGAACAGAAAACTGTCAAAGCCTTTAAAATAGCTTCTTCCCCACTGCAGTTTCACTGCAGGGCTTATAGCATGGCTGTGCTTCATTTTATAGAAATGTCTGATCCTTTGTCAAAGGCTTAAAACAAAATGATCCTTTCAGCCATTGCTAAACTTTGAACATACTTGCAATAGAAATTTTTACCTATTTAATTCAGACAAATAGAGGGATGGGAAGGAAAAAAGAACAAGTTTGTCTTTATTATTCTAATAGATTAAGAAAAGTAGCAGTAATAGATCTGTTTCTCGGTTGGTTTACAATAGCACCCTTTCTTTGCTCATAATTACAGGTGTGTCTAGATCAGGTTTTTAAGTCCTAGATCAGGTCCATAGTCTGCCTCATTTATAGCATTTTATTGTGTTCCAGATATTATCCTCTTCCACCTGTAACCCTTCTATATTTTATCACCAATTATTTGGCCTTCTTACTTAACAGATGAAATGGCTGAAAAGAGAAAAACTGTAACTCCTTTTGACTAGTAGCACTCAGAACTCTCTTTTGGCTCTTATGCATTTAAAAGCAAGCCCTATTAAATAGTTGTTGGGACAGAACTCCAGCTAGATATGTAATTGAAACTGCCTTAGGATAACCTATCTATACTTTCTAGAACTCACTGAGTTGGATGTTACCACTAGTTTTCTATTTCATCATATTACAAACATGGTAATTTAATGAATCCCCTATAGATGGCTGGATGCTTATATAATAGTTCTGCTCTGCATTCTGCTTTTAACTTACAGGTAGTCCTCACTTACCAGCCACTCATTCAGCAACTGTTCAAAGTTACTATAGTGCTGAAAAATAAATTTAAAACCACTTATGGCCTTTGCAGCGTTCCTCAGTCACGTGATCGCCATTACAGTCAGTACGCATTGTCCTGTGCCTGATCTGTGTGTTTTTCTTTTTTTCCCCCCTTGCAGAGCAGAGAGATTGGAGAGGAAGGGGTTACAAGAGAGGGAGCTGTTTGCTCTTCTACATTTTGAAAGCAATGCTATCACGCCAGCAGTGGGAAAGCATCAGGCAAAGCAGAGATTGCCTACAGAAATTGCTTGCTTCCCCCTCCCCCCTCACAGAGTGGAAAGATTGGAGAGGAAGAGATTTCAAGAGAGTACTGTAAACTGTTTGCATAGCACACCCATGGCTCCCAGCCCCAGGCTGCAGGTGGGATTGCATTGCTTTTGATGTGCACACACAGGAAGTAAGCACTCAAGCATTCCAAATGATGGGGGAATAGTTAGGAAGCAAACAAAGGCCAAAGGTGTGAAACCAAGTAGTCTTGTTTCTTTCCAGCCAGAAAGCACAGTCACGGTCACATGATTTCCCACTTAGCAACTGCTTCACTTAGCGGTGGAGTTGCCAGTCCCAGTTAGGGTTGTTAAGTGAGGACTACCTGTATTATATAGTCAGTGGCAGTTTAAGCAGGTTCTCTGAATTTCCAGCACCAGGCAGACGAAAGCCAATGTCTGTGGAGCAGAATAAACCATCCTACAGCAACTACAAATGTTAAGAAATGAAATTAAAGCATTTGAACTCTGTTTATTAGCCTCATTCACACATTAAACTAAACGTTCAAACAAATCATGGTTGTAATGTAAGTCACAATTAGCTGGGTTCATGCAGCATCCTGAGCTATATAGTATAGAATGCAAAACTGAATTGGTAACTTCGTGCTGTATACCTAATAAAAGTGTGTGTGGGGGGGGGGAATTATGGGTTAGTGTAGTGTATGCACTTAGCCTAGAATATCATATGTATTGATAAATAAATGTCCCTTCTGTTTACCTTTTTTTGTATAGGAAATTAGTTTTTTATCATTTTTGATATGATTGTAACTCATGCTACATTTGAACATGCAATGTTCAGCATTGCAAAGTAAACCTTTGTTCTAAACTTTTAAAACTTTCTTTAGGACACTAGTTACATAAATATTTTTACAAGAGAGCTTTAAGTAGTTACATCAACCCAGCAGAATTCTTCACTGTCTTTGTGCAGTCAACCCAGCTTTGTGTATGAATGCATTGCACAAGAGCAGCAAATTAATGCTTATATGTATTAGCTAATGAACTTTTGGCATAGTGTCAGGAATTTCTTTAGCCCTGTCAAAGTGACATATGGATTTTAATTACTGGGTACTTTGCAGTGTTGTTTCTGAATGACTGAAGTTGATATTACAGTGTTTTTCTGTGAATAGGATAAAGATCAAATTTATACTGGAAATTATACAGAAAATAATCTTTCATAACATTTTACACAAATATTACTTTCATTTATCAAATCTAACATATTTGAATAATGCTGTTGTACCCTACTAAAATAATCAGCTAGGATTATTGTAAACCGAAAAGAGTCATTTCACGGGATGGGCGTTGACAAATTTAATAAATAAATAAATTATTCCTTTCTATGGGAGTGAGTCACAATTGAAATAATTAATTTATCACATGGTGAATACCTGGAATTTAAAGTCCCAGTACTTTGTTTTGTTTTTGCATAAAATATTTTATAAGCCCATAACTATTACAAGCTGACTGCAAAAGGAATATCTATTATAATGAAAGTAAAAATAAATGCTACACCCAGATTTGAGGGTTGCCAGTTCCCACACTGGATCTTAAGTTAAGAACTTAACTTTTCAAGTTCAATTAATTTTACAAGCCATTTTTTTAAAACTAAAAATATAATCAGTTCTACAAACACAACGATTCTGAACATGGACATGGATCAATATTAACATAATAACTGCACTACAGAAAACATATAAAGAACACTCCATATAAAGAGAATCCATCTCTACATGTGAAAAGCAAAAATGACAAATAACAATTTTCAGCAAGGCATAACATTTCTAGAGATGCAACTGAAATGAACTAATGGAAAGTTACAAGGTGAATTTTGTCAGGCCAAGATGTCTTCTTTTTGAAGGCTTCCGGTGGGGAATTTTGGCAGGCTGATGCTCTCTGAAGGAGCAGAGAGACATCACTGTGTAGAACACTGGCTTGAAAGCAGATTCTGGCTGGCACAATCTCTGGATCAAAGGGAGATTGTGAGATAATCCATGTGTGCTCCGGATGGTGGCTCCTTGTGAGTAAATTGCAGAAACAGAAGTCTTTGCAATCAGCTCAGAGTTTGAGCTGCTGGGAGTCCCAGGATTCCATCTACACTCCTAACTGTAGTGGAGCCTATATGGATATTAAGCCCTGCCTTCATTTCTTAATCACTTTGGGAAGTAATTAATCTACTGATATAGAGAGATTTCCTCTGCAGCAAAGACTCCTTACAGTGAATTAAACCTTCTTTCTGGATTACAAAACAACAAGAAAGACTTTGATTTAAAGATTCAAGAATCCTTTGCAAAAAGCTTAATAAAGAGAAGATCTAAGAAAGTGTTAAAATGGATAAGGGACAGTCTTTTTTTCTATTTTTTAAAATTTTTATCATCCTTTTTATGAAAATGCTTTGACAAAAGTACATAAATCAACACTAAGCCAGTTAAAGAGACCAGATCTTTGTTGGAATGCTTGATGTTTATTGTTAAAGAGTGCATTTAATTGGTGAACTCTACATAACAAACAATAAGCTAATGAACCAGACTGTGACATTTAGTTGCCATGGAGATGTGATGTGTATTGTGGCTTGAAGTTATGGAGAGCTGCTAAACAAAAGTGTTAAAACTACAGAAAGATAAAGAGGAAACAAAAAAGGAGAGGCTTGATTTTTCCTCTTGCTTGCTGGAAACACTTTCACTTTTGGATTATAATATACAATGGCAGCTACTAGAAAAATGACAAGAGAGGGCAGGAGGGGCTTGCTAAGGCAACTTGCAGACAAAATAATTACACTAGATATGATTCAGAAATTATTTGAACAGATGGGAAATAGGACACTTTTCAAAAAAGGATAGATGAAAGATTTGTAAAGTTGAGAGAAGGGATGAAAGAAGATATTAAAACGATAGACAGTTCTATAAGGCAAGTATCTGGAGAGGTAAAACAAATCAATAATAAAGTGGAAATTTTAGAGAGTAAGAGAAGTTCAAGGAAGAGAGTTGGAAAAGGTAACTGGATAATCTGGCTTTATTGGAGTTGAGAGAGAAAGAGTTTTGTTTGAGATTCAGAGCTGTTCCAGAGGTTTCAGATGAAGATGTTAATGAATGGATTATTAAAGTCTTGGCAAATTTTTTGCACTGGGAGAAGGAAGATATGGAGACAGAATTTGATAGGGTCTGTAGAATAAATTCCAGATTTGCCAGAACAAAAAATGTCTCAAAGGATATTTTAGTACATTTTGTTAGAAAGAAGACAAGGGATCTAGTCCTGCAGCAGCATTTTAATGCAAATTGAAAATGGACAATACAGATACAATTGTTTTGAAAGAAATTCCTATTAGAATTTTACATAAAAGAATATGCCTTCTTGGCTGAAAAATTAAAACAGAAAAAATCCCATTTCAATGAGATAAATTGGAAGGTGTGATTTTTCTTTTTAACCAGCAGAGATTTAGACTGAATTCTGTTCAGAAGCCAAGAGAATTTTTAGAAAGATACAAAGGAGAATTGCAGGAGATACAAATGGAGTTTTCAGAGGAAACTGCAGAAAAATCACAACAGATATAACAGGAATTGAAAAAAGGTGATACGAATTAGGTGCTATAGGTATGGACTTTTCTAAATTTTTGGCCTGAGTATGGATTACAAATGTTTAACATGGAATATAAACAGAGCAAATGCTCCTTAAAAGAGAAAAAAAAAATTATTTGAAAAAATTAAAACAAGGCATTGTTTGCCTACAAGAGATTCATATAAAAAATAAAAATAAAAGAGTTATAAATCTTTGGGTGAACAATTTACTTCATCAGATATTAAAAAGGAAAATGGAGTTGTTTTGTGTATTAATCTGAAACCAGAACTTGTATTGACTGATGAACTTGGTAGATTTGTTGGGGTAGAAGTTGAGAATTTATGCCCCAAATGATGATAAAGCAATATTTTCCAAACAACTTATGGAGAGATTAATAGACTTTTCTTATGAAAGCTGGTGTTTGATGGGGGATTGGAATTGAGTGATCTCCCCACAATTGGACAGGACTTCTAAGAAAGATGCTAAAATTACTCAAGGTAAATTACCAAAAGTTTTTTTTTTTTTAATTTGATGGTCAATTTAGGGTTGGTCGATATATGGAGACACAAAAATGGCATTTCAAGATATAGGTAGTCCTTGCTTAATGAACAAGATAGGGTCCGGAGGTTACCTGATACAACATAATTCTGAACTTAAGAGGAAAAGGCAAGAGAAAAGACAAAATATTTTAGATAAGATAAAAAGAACAGAAGAAGAATTAAAGAATTCACAAGGAATATAAGTATCTCTCAACAAATTAAGATTTTATAGCAACAGCTATCCATGTTAACAATAAGAGAAATGGAAATAAAACAATTATGCAAAACAAAGACATTTTGAATTTGTGAACAAACCAGGGAAATGGCTTATAAATTGCAAAGAGAAAAGAAAATGATATTGAAATTACAAGAGGGAGATACTGTATTTACGGATAATGTGGCTATACAAAAAACATTTTATCAATATTATTCTAATTTGTATGAAGGACATGATATTCCATTGGAGAAAATAGATGATTATCTCAGAAAGCAAAACCTACCAAGGATTACAGAAGAACAAAGACAAATTATGAATGGACCTATAATAATACGGGAAGTTTCAGAATCGATTAAGAAGAGTGAATCAGGAAAGGCGCCTGGATTATTGAGTCTGTATTACAAGTATTTTGAGGATGAACTTCTACAACCTCTACAAAACGTGATGAATTCTATTTTACAGAGAAAAGGATGCCAGAGACTTGGAAAAAGGCCAAGATAACATTAATACCTAAGGAGGGACAAGATTTGACCCTATAGCAAGAAACTATAGACCAGTATCATTATTGAACAATGATTGTAAGTTGTTTACAACAATTTTAGCTGAAAGACTGAAAATAATTCTGTAAGAATTTATGCATAAGGATCAATGTGGGTTTTTACATAAAAGATACTTAAAGGATAATGTTAGAACTGTGTTGGATATTTTGGAATATTTGGAACATAGTGAAAAACAAGCTGCATTTTAGATGCAGACAAGGCTTTTGACAATTGGAACTGGATTTTTTTGTTTAAAGTTTTGGAAGACATGCATTTTGGAGAGAATTTTATAAAATGGGTGAAATTGATTTATACTTTACAGATGGCACAAATAATTGTTAATGGAGATTTAACCAAACTGTGAGATACAAAAAGGAACAAGACAAGGTTTCCCACTCTCCCCTCTTCTGTTTATTTTAGTTCTTGAAATATTGAATAGAGACATAAGACAAAATTAGAGGATTGTGGGCATAAAATTTTTTAAAAAGAGACATATAAGTTAAGAGCTTTTACAGACAATTTACTGTTGGTTCTGGAAGACCCTCTAAAGGGAATTGAATTATTAATAGGTAAATTAAAAGAATTTGGTGCATTAGCAGGCTCTAAGATTAACAAATACTTGGGTATTACTGTGTCAAATATGAATTGTTTGTTATTTCAAAAAAATTATATTAAGACACAGAATGAAGTTAAAAAAGACAAGTTGGGACAAAGTGCGATTGTCAGTGTTGGGGAGAATTTCTGTGATTAAGATGAATGTTTTACCTAGAATGTTATTTTTGTTTCAGACAGTACCTGTTTTGACAACTGATGTACTGTTTAAACAATGGCAGAAGGATATATCTAAATCTGTATGGCAAGGGGAAAAAATCCTGAGTTAAAAATAAGGTATTACAACATGCAAAGGAAAGAGGAGGATTGGGTCTACCAGATTTGAAGTTATACTTTGCTGCCTATTGTTTAGCTTGGATGAAAGAATGGGTGTTGCTGAGAAATAGAAAGCTATTGGAATTAGAAGAACACAATTTGAGATTTGGGTGGCATGGATATCTATGGTATGACAAAGCTAAGGTTAATGTAGATTTTAAAAATCATGTCAAGTAGATAATTTTGAGAGTATGGAATAAATACAAATCTAGGTTGTGCCTGAAAACACCTTTATGGATCTCAGCACAAGAAACATTTTATAGACAAGAAATGATAAGTAAACATAGATGGTTAACTTACTGTGATATACTAGAATTTTCTCAAGGGGATTGTAAAATAAAATTAAGAGGAAATTTGATAACAGAAGGATATATTCGTCAATAGTTTTCCTATGTACAATTATCAGAAAGTTTTAAAGTAGATGAAAGATTTTATCATTTTGAACAATGTAGGACTGAGTTATGTCTCAATTATTGAGACATAATTAAGAATTATGTACAAATGATGACCATGTTTTAGGTAAAATATACAAGTTTTGTTGAAATTTGAGACAAAAGACAAACAAGTGAATGAATATGATAAAATAGGCTAAAAATTTGGTTACAGTATAAAAATGGATCAATGGGAAAATATGTGGTTGAAAGGATAAAATTTACATTATGTTCTAGTCTTAAAAATAATTTTTATAAAATGATGTACCATTGGTATTTATCACCAGAGAAATTGACTAGAATGTATAAAGGTACTTTGAATTTATGCTGGAAATGTGAACAACATGAAGGGGCATTTTATCATGTATGGTGGACATGTAAAAAAGCCAAAAAAAATTGGATACAAATACATACACTAATTCAGAAGATCTTAGAGACTAATGTACAATTGAAACCAGGGGCTTTTCTTTTGAGATTAATGACAGATAGCTAGAAAAAAGTCATGGAACTTTGTTTTTAATATGATAACTGCAGCGAGATTACTATATGCTCAAAAGTAGAAAGGTTCAACACTACTCATAATAGAGGAATGGTTAGTGAAGATGATGGAACTTGCAGAGATGGCTAAATTGACTTCCTTGATTAGAGAAAAGACAATATTTACATTTATGGCTGACTGGAAACCCCTTACAGGCTTTTTGCATGAACAGAAAAAAACACACTTATGATTTGTGGTTTTGATGGTTAGAAAAAAAAATTAGATAATAGAAAAAAGTGAGCTTTTTTTTTTTGTAACCATAGAGTAAGAGATAACTTTGTAATTATACTTAACATTTGCTGCAGAGATTGGAAGCTTTTGTTTCTTTTTATCTTTCTTTTTTCTGCAGCTTTGTCCTTTTTTTCTCTCTTTTTCTTTCTTTTCTTTATTTTAGTGTTTGTTAGTTTTTATCTTTTTAAAACTTTTAATAAAATTTATATAAAAAAATATGTCTTCTGTTTGAAATGCTAAAAGTGGTAGGAATGGGGTCAATCAGCACAAGTGAGTAGGGAGATCTCTTGATGACAACTCATTTAAGTTTCAAGTTTGTGAAGTTCAGATTCCAGCCTTAGTAACTTACATAATGGATTATCCCTTTCCTCAACACTCTACCTATTTTAGTTGCCTCACTAATTCCATTGGAGTATTAAGTTCTGTGTCAACTCTTAGATGGTCAGTAGAGATCATATCCATGTTTTCTTTTGTATCCCACTGTCTGGAAGGAGCACATAGTAATTTAAATGTTAACTGAGGAGAAGATGCTGCGTTTAAAAGCAATTAAAGATTTTCAACACTACTGTGTGAAGCCTGGTAAATTAGTTTGAAGGTTTGAAACTGAGAAATAGAGATACTATCTAAGGCCATATCCAGAGGCCCATTCCTGTCTGGGACACTGGTGTTAAGGGTGCTCAGAAAAAGTATAAGATAATTGTATTTTAGAGCATACACCCTACAGTGGAATAAATGTATGGGTACACATGAATGTTCCAAAAATCAGGAATAGCAGAATGCAAGAACTATACCCAGAAGAGGTATAGTCACTAGAGTGGTCTTAACTTGTTAGTGCTGTGCATATCTTGGTACTAAAGAAACAAATAATGCCTGGTAAGAGTTTAGCATGGAATGATGCTTTGATTGATTAGTAGATACAGATGCTAAGCTCTTGGCACTGTACTATCATATAGCTCTGACATTCATTTGACTAATATGATTAGAATAACTCTTCTTCCTTCTTTATTCTAATCCTATTAGTCAAATAAAAAATATAAGTGATGCAATTGGCTAACATTATGGAAAGAATTTGGCTTTCCTTACTGTTCTTGTCACTGTGGTAGCAGTACCTGGTCAACATTGGCTGAATTAAAAAAAAAAAAAACTAAGCATGCTTGAACCTCATTAGTATTTGCATGAGAAGCCACGAGGAAATCCCTGGGCTTTAGGGATTGGGGAATTAAAAAGAAAATTCCTAGAAGTGGCAGAACACTTCTGTATTGCCCCAAAAACGTCATGGATATCTCCATGTAATCATCAGGAATCCAACTTGGTTCAAAAGACACTTTTGTTTTCTTATCTATTTATTCTTATAGACAGGCATTAACCTCAGAATCTGCTTTCTTAATAAAGAAAAGTTTGAATACATTGTATAACAGTATTTAACTGTTGTTTACTAAATGTAAAAGTTTAAAGTACCATTGTTGATTTCTAAGCTAGTTTTTACAAAGTTAGCAACCGGAATATAAAGTTTGGTTATAGTAGTCTTAAATTACTATTAGTAAATGTAATCCCAAAAGCCGGTTTGGTGTGTGGTTAAGGCACCAGGCTAGTAACTGGATGTAGAGAGTATATAGAATGAACTGACAGATAGAAGGAATATCTGTTATCAAGGCAACAAACAGATAAATGTGCCTTAAGCTCATACGAAGAGTAAAATTTATGAAAACATCTCAGATAGGCACCCCCCTAATTCCCAAGAAGATAGAAGAGGGAGGAGGGGAAGCACATTTAGACCTATACGATTTTGTTAATATAGCCATTCTAATAAAAGTAGTTTTAGATCGGTGTGGTGTTTGTTTCTTTATCTGGTCTACCCTGTACATAGGGAGACTATGAGTTCTAGTTCTGCCTTAGGCATGAAGCCAGCTGGGTGACCTTGGGCCAGCCACACACTGTCAGCCCTAGGAAGCAGGCAAGGGCAAACCACTTCCAAAAATCTTCCCAAGAAAGGAGTCAATGCTGGCTCAAAGACACATACACAAAAGTAATCCCACCTTCTCCAGTCTGGTGTTCCCTTTGGGCTGGATTTCATTTCACAAAATCCCAAGCTACAGCTAGGAATTTGGAGACTTGAAGTCTAATAAATCTGGAGGACACCAAATGGGAAAATGTATTCTACTGGGTCAAAGAACACAATGGAAATCCATTTAAAATAATCATTTGCCACTGTAAAGGTCTCAGAACCTTTTTTTCTTTTGAGCCCACGCAAGTTTTAACAGTCATCCCAGTATGTTTTGAAGATAATAGCAGATGTCTTTCTTTTCATGGGTTTGTGCTATCTGTGTAAACCAAGGGAGGTAGTTGTAGCAATAATAGGAAGGTGTTGTTCCAGCCACTTAAAACTCTTTCAGCATACTTTGACTATTGCAGCATACCAATAGAGTTCTCTGAGCTTGATTCTTTTCTTCCAAATGTTTCATCAGGTAACATCATCAGTGCTAGAATAGGATGGGGTTTGCTCTCTGTTTATATACTGTGGCATGCCCTGCCAGTGCTGGTGGGGTTGGGGGTTTTGTTTTGTTCCTCTGGTAGTTCCTTGATTAGA